TCTCTAGGATCTGCAACCACCAAAAGCGAACTTTTTAGCCTTCATGTATACAGCTAAAGGACTATAAAAATTTGTCAACAAATTCGAAACAGAACTTGGATACAGCTAAAGGACATCCATACAAACTTTAAAATTACTAACCAAGGCTTAATAGATACTTGGATTCCTCGGTTGAACTACTTTACAACTGTAGCTCCATTTTGAAACAACGAAAGAACTTAGCAAACTTATATTAAGAAAAATTGCTTTCGAGCATGCAGCAACAATTTAAATGTAACTGAAAACAGTGGAACACACTATACTGACATTTCATCAAACAGTTCAACGAATTTAAACTGTTTGATGACAAATTGTCTAGGAAATAGCATATGCTACATTTGGTCAGGAACACATTCTTGCTAAGGCAAGATAACTTATAGGGGAGAGGCACAGGTGGTACCTTGAGCTGCAAATGGTGGTCGACTGCAAGTCACCACTTTCGATGCCGGGTCGCATAGGCACTGGAGTGATTGGTATTGGTATTACATAGTTCCTCCATGCATAAAGATTAGAAATCTATAAAAGATTTTTTTTATCTATCAAAGGAGAGCAATCAATTAATCTTACAGCCTTTCTGTGTTATATAAAGCGAAGCTTGGAACAAACAAACTGAAAATTGCCTACATCTGTACAACTCGAATTTCGTGTGAGGAATGCAACAGTCAATGTAACATTTGATGGGACAAAACTGGTGGCAAGGCAAACCACACTTTCCATCCATTTGAACAATCCAAGAGAAAAGAAATCGCAATGTATCTTTATTTTAGTAAGGAAAACATATGTCATATGACATAGAATAACTTTATTGACAGGTAGGCAACATTTCTAAAATAATGTTTAGATATGCTTCTGCAAGAGAATTAAAGTTTGAATTTGAATTCACCTTTTCACATCAAGAAACTAAAGCTAATCCTTGTTCAGACAAAACAATAAAGTTCATCCTACGGATTCACACTTCTAAACCAACAAAAGGGAATAAAGTTCCTCCCTTTAGCTCATTAGGTTGCAAAATTGAAACAAAAAGAAAGAGGTGATATTAGCGGTCACCTAATCTCTTCAAATTTAGAGGAACAGTGTTAGCTGGAAGTCTCATCGCCTGTTTTTTCCTTATTGCTTCATTGCTATCATTCACCTATGGTTATAAATATTATTTAGAAATGGAAAGTAATATCATAAATTGACAAACCAGCAAGCCAACTCCTAAAGAGTGACCAACAAAAAGCTAGTAAGAAATCCACTATGGTCATGCACAGAGGTTTTTCTTCCATAGGTGCCCAGTCAATGCAAAAAAAAATGGATGCAACAAGCATGAGATTAGGCCGGTAAGAAATCAAGCGTGGTCCAAATTAATAATTGCTCCTAAAAACATCATTAGCATAAACCATACCAGTCCACGAAGCATGGCACACAGCCTGTAGCCAAATTGTAGGCGAAGCCTTTCTGCCTATGCATCAGGGCAAAGAAGCTTTAGCCGTATATATGAAAAAAGTAAAATCAAAATACCTTGATATGGCAACAAAGATCGCTCGCAGTGACGGCCATCCATCAATTCGTCTGCCTAGCTTCTTCCTTGCCATGGCCTGCAAGCGTGCCTCCACAGCTAGCTACTCACCAACTAGGGCCAGATCGCGTACAACCCCACAACTCGAATCTTGGATTAGCAAGCCCACCGCTGCACGGGGGGCGCCCTGGCCCTAGTCGACCATGGAAGACCGCCGGAGGCCGACCGCCGCCCCGGTGCTCCGCCAGGCCAGGGGGTGCCTCGCCGGGTCTTGGCCGCACAATACAGATCTGGCGTCCTCCTTACCCCCAACAGCTACAGACGCCCCACGGAGAAGCAGGCCACCAGTGAGCTGCAGCAGATAGGCGAAACGAATGGAAAAGTAAGGATGGAGAGAGGCCGGGCGGCTCACCTGGCGCAGCCAGCAGAACGGCAAGGAAGACGGAACGGAGGGGCCGCTCGAGCCGAGGCTGTCCGCACTGGTGCGCCACCGCGCTAGGGTCCCAACAAGGCAACATCGCGCTGGAGGCCTCCCACGTTGGAGAACAGATCCACTCGGGCGGTCGCGGCACCACGCCGAGGCCTCCCCGCTACCGGTCGCCACCACTTCTGGCGGCGCCGATCGCTGGGGTTCTCTCACCGAACTGAACTGGCGGGCGGGCGCCGCCGTGCTAGGGATGTCGTGCGAGTGTGCCACGGCGCCAGAGCTGCCGACGCCGTGCCAGCTCCACACGGGGCTCGGAGGCCACGGTGCTGGAGCCGTGCGAGTGTGCCACTACGCCGCAGCGCAGCCACGCCCCAGCCACCGACGCGCCGCCCGGCTCCACACACGGGCCCGGAGGCCACGGTGCCGGAGCCGCCGCGCCTGGGCCCTCCTGTGCCGCCGCTCTAGCTGCACGGAAGCCGCACGCGTGGAGGCCACTGCGCTGGGGCCACCAGCGCCGCCCCTTTCGAGCCACAGCTCGGGAGTCGAACCTCCCAAATGACCGCCACCCGAGAGAGAGGAGCGAGAGGGAGGAGAAGTGGATTTGGAATGTGGAGCTATGGTTTCAGCCGGTATATATTTGGCATGGGAAGAGCAGCAGCACCGTTGGATTGAGGATCTGACGCTCAGGAAAATTTTGAACGACGTGGCCACCTTGAGGCCGCGCCGTGGCCACAACAAATTTACTCTTTAAATTCAGCCACCCCAAATTGTTTTTCGTAGTATTAAATGCTTACAAGTAAGCTTTATAGTACTTCAAACACATTTCAAAGAAAGTGTTACTTTGACACGGACATGGGTGTCGGAATCCGACTCGGATTCAAGTGTCGGTTTTGTCCGAATGTGTAAACTCCTTTCTTCTTAATGAAACACGTGCGGTGGCACGTTCGCGAAAAAAATTGGGGTACCGGTTGGATAAGAAAAAAATTTATTCAAAGCGGGAAATGTTAATGTCTCTTCGGTGACATAAGATAAAGTTACTAGGTATAGTGACAAGTGTCAAGTCCAACTCGAATTCGGTGAATTCTTGTTGACATAAGAGTTTTTGTAAAGGGATGGGTGTGAAAGGTCGATTCCCCTTTTCTATTGAAGTAGAGAAGGAGGTGATTGATCTTTTCTGAAAAACGTCATGGTGGTACAAGCTTCACTACAGATACACAAAAAAATCCATATCGCAAATAGGTGATAGTGAGCTGCCTTTTCCAACTTAAAATCAACACTTGACTACTCGTTCATGATTTCTCTTTTGGGAACGGGCACTTAAGGAGTTCAAGGAACAATAACTAGAGTCTTAAAGCTGTGTTTTTTTTACAGTAGGAGACAGATCTTGAGCCTGGAGAATCTTTGGTTGCCCTTGAGACTTGCAACAATTCTATATAGCCGGTTAAAACTGAAGCAAGCATGACGGCAAAACATTTCTTGATTTCTCCAACCTAAAGAGACGGCACTGCTAGTTTAATGAAATAGGTCTTTGCACCCACAAAGTACTGTAAGGATAAACAAACCTACATTCCTCTGTCATCAACGGGCATTATTTTCTTCTATCACTTGAGAAAGGGTCATCGTCATGGCTGATAGCCACATCCCATCACGGACTCCTTCAACCTCAAGCTAGGGCATGCATGCCTACCTCACCTATCAAAAAGGCAAACTTTGTCAAATTGTGGCGCGTCATTCCACCACATAAATTATGTTCAACCTGCTGATTGAGCAATAGGGTAGGGCACCCACATTGGCCATAGTTTTTTATACTACTAATCAAGATGACTCCAAGAGGTTATGGCTTGTAAAGCTCTTGTTTCATAGCAGCGCAGATGCCTTGTTTGTCGCTGTCAAAGTGCATTAATTTGTCGAGCTTGGTGGGGTACTTGCGCTAACACGACAAAATACCACTTTTTTGGGCAGCAGCAACCTCAAGGAGATGGCATCTTGGCATCGACTTTTGGGTTGGTTCCAGATTTGTCTTCGGGTGCGGAGCCGCCATGGAGCTGGAAAAGATGGACATATTCCAGCCGTGTTTTGGGAGGAAAACCTGTGGCGACCAATTCTTGCTCATTGCTGATGTCAGAACTTTTTTGCAGCGAAGAGCCGAAGATGATTTGAAAGGCACCTTTCGAATTTGTTACGATTGATTCTTCGGTTGTGACGAATGTACCTGCTTTGTGATTTGTATACAATTTCAAACAAGGACTACCTGGCTATTTGGAAATTGGAGGACAGTATACAAGCTCCACATGATACGGCTTAATTGACATTAAGTAGACGGGGTAACAATTTCAGTTGGGAATCCCCAACCGTCGCGAATCTTCAATTCCACCGCGGATTTTTTTTATGCCACTCGTATGCAGGGAATTTGCGACGGTTTTATCTCTGAACATATTAGCTATTTGATGCGGTTTGTTCACTGAACAGATTAGCAGAGAAGCAAAAGTTAACAAACGACACCAAATAAACACCTGTTTGAACGATCCGGCTTATATTTGAGCAAATCCAAGGTTTGCTCAGAGAGGTAAAACGGCTTTTTATACAAAGCTGGTAAACATTTATTTATCAATTACTATTACATGATCCCGGGGCAGGTGCTTCTGCATCTTCAAACACAGCACATTTTAATAATTTGCAACTTAGAAAAATAAATAACTACAAAATTAAATAGCATCGAAGAGAAGCAGAAAGTAATCACTCCACTCAAATGTATAATGATCTCACTACCAAAACTGCATGTCCAACCCATCCAACAATAAATACCACCATTTCCCATGCACCTCTGTTGCAGCACATCTCAAACCATATTTCGAATACAAGACAATATACACTCTATATCAAAACCATGTGTGGTGGCAGCTTCTGGTTCGTTGAAGCAAGCAATGCATTCACAAATTACCCCACCCACAAAAAAGATTCCACATAAAGAATTGGCTGACAAAACATCAAGAAAAATAACAAGCCCAGACCTTGCAACGACAGAAAAAACAACTATGTCGACAAGATGGACTGTAGCAGTAGCTGTTGCTGCGGTTGCAAGTTGGAAAACGTTGATGCAAGAAAATCAGGAGGCAAAGTCTGCTGGAAACGCCTCAAGACATTCACCATCCTGTTTCTAGTTTCATCAGTGGCGAGTTCTGTTCCATTGCACAAAACCTACAAAATATACAGATTGGAGAATAAACCATTCAGGAATTCATTCATGACAGTTGAACAAAATTACATGGATATGTAGGAAAATAAAATAAAATAAAATAATGATCAGCAGAATCACAGATTTCAAAATCAACTGCTCATGCATTACCTCTGCAAATATTGAAACAATTTTAGGAAGATACTGACTATGAGGACCGAGAATTTCAGTATCCGACCTGCAAGCAGAAATGGTTATGATAAACTGCAAAAGCATTATCCTTGTCGGCAGATTTCCAGTCATGAGCCTACCTCTCCACCATTGAGCAAAGTTGTTCATGTACAACTTTAGCTTCAATCTTGTCGTCTTTTATAGGCAAGCAGCTAAGCCAAGCTGGAACAACCTGAGAAGCATGAATTGATTCAGTTTGGAATAGTTCCATGTGCAAAGTAACTTTCTCCTGGCAAAGCTAACAGCAAAATCAACACCATGCAATACAATTTTTAAGCTTAGGGTGTGTGATATGATGAATTTTTGTGGTCCATCATCTACTCAATCCTCACTTTTTTTGTTTGGTTGTGGCATAGAATAAGTTGGTTCTCCACCATTTTATACCTCGCAAGCAACAATTAGTACAAGCATCGGGAAAGGGTAATTCCACCAAAATTCATGGGACGAACTCGATGCACCATCTCATCTAGGATGGGCTGGTTCCTCAAACCAAACACCCTCCCTAAGGTCTCTGTCTCACTAGTCATTCCCTTGCTCCTCGAGTGTGTGTTTTGAGGATCTAATCTGGCCCCACCTCACCTTACTGCTCTCCAGTCTCCCCCCTCCTTTCCCTTATGATATATGACCACCTAGGGTACACCAAATGACTTCTGCGAAAATGTGTCACATTTGGTTGACAATGGATATAGCCTATAATTTGTTTATCATATCACAACTACACAATCATCTCAAGCAAGTTGTGGAAGGCACATTACTAGAAAATATTGGCCATATCATCAGGAAAAGATGCTGAGATTAGAGCGTACCTGAGCTGCATCAATACCATCACGATGAAATTGGCATATTTTTCCAAGTGCCGAAACAGCATTATCATATGCCATGATATTATCAGGAAGTCGTGCCTCAGGATGTCTTATAACATTGTTTAATTTCGATAGGGCCTCTGAAATCAGAAGCAAGAAATTGTTGGATAGGTTGGAAATGTCACGTAAAATATAAGAAGTGTAAACACTTAAAATGTAAAGAATCTACCTCCTACTAGAGGGCGAAAAACATGACCACCAAACTCGGCACATACACCCACACCATAGACAGCAGCCTAAATGAAGAAATGATTCAGCATTATATCAGTGTTCAATTTCACCTAGTAAAAAGGGTGAATGGATCAAGGGAACATGACAGAATAAAAAACAGACCTGCCGAACATCTGAATTTTCGTCGTTTGATGCCTCCAAAAGGAAAGGAAGGTATGTGTCATAATACTTCAAAGCTGATTCACGGCATTGCTCTGCAACATCATCAAAAATACAGATAGCTATCCTTCTCTCTTCGGGTGTTTTATCTTTTCCCTGCAAAACCATAAGGTACCAAAATGAGATAGAATAAAACCCAAAAAGATAGCATGGAGGCACCACACAGCAAGTTAAGAATGTAAAAACAAACCAGGGTAATACTGATAAAGAAAAAAGTGCAAAATTACTTGCAATAAAAAAGAGCTCTTACAAATAACAAAATAGGGCAGGGTTCAATTGACTTACCAACATTGGTGTAATGTACATAGAGAGCTCTTCAAAAAACAGCAAGAAAGAACCTTTGAAGGTTTTAATCAAAGTCCCTAGGCACTCGCTGACCTGGAAGTTTAAAGAACGTAAATTTAAAAAGAAAAAATAGGTTAGCCTTTTAACATAACTTGCAGAAGACAGTATCATTGAAAGACTCAGGATAAAACAGACAAGCGATTTCTAGACAAATAAACCTGATCAAATACTTCCTCCTCCTGTTCATTCTCTTCTTTGAGTAGCTCTCCTTCATCAGCATCAAAATCTTCCGCTTTTGTTCTCTCAGAACGTTCTCTTTTCCGGGTGGCGCTGGCTATAATGACATTTTTAATCTCATCCGAGATAGCTCGTACTTGGGTTTGATCAAGCAGAAGACCAGAAAGCTGCTCAATGAGTAACATCAAGTTCAGTGACACAGCCACAAACTATTTCAGAATAGAGAATATTTAAAAACTACAGCACATTTTGTTCCATACTTCCATCCACAGAGCATAGCTAAATATTTCCTCCCCATTTTTAGAAAATCAAGAGGTGATGATCACACAACCACACAAAAACACAACCCAGTAGCATACACCCTATTACACACTGACAAATAAAACAGCTGAAAGCACAAGCATGTGCATAAATCGTGAGCACTAAGATTAAATCCCTAGGAGGTGGAGCAGTAACTTCATGTTCCGCCACCACAAGGGGTGGCACCCTCTGTTCTATTTATAATAAGGTGCATCTAGGCTCAGCAAGGTCTTCAAATTCATTCTGACAATTTATTTCTTCAATACAGACAAAGTCATGTTCTGGTAGAAGAACAAAGATCACTCATCTAAACTCCATATAACATCCTAAAGTTAGCAGCTTAGACCCCAATTGGCAACCTTTGGCAAGAGTACCAAGCTTTGCCTGGCTGAGCAAGAGTGCAAAAAACTGACCCCTCAATGTAATGCTATTCAAACTGTTTTATTTATCACTACATGAGACTACCATCGGCAATTCTGAATAAAAAATGGATGAACAATCTCAGACATACTGAACAATAGAAGATATTTTTAAACACTTTCTACAAAAGATCATTTTCAACAAATAGAGCAATAGTTTTATTAACTCCGTCTATGATGGGGCGCCTCTGGTGTCCCAGCATAGTAGGTCCCAAACCCTGATAAAGGAGGAGGGTTGTGTTAGGCGCGGCGAGCCAATGTAAAAACTTAGCCACTTTAATGGAGATGAAACCCAAAAGAATCCCGTTGAGGTGTAACCCTCCTAGCGATGCGCCATGTCGGAACCTGGGTATGGTGTTAAATGGGCAAGGGCCGGGTCGTCACCCCCGTGACGCGCCGTGTCGCGATCTGGACATGGTGTCAAGTGAGCAAGGATCGGGTTGTCGCATCCTTAGTGGCGCGGCACATCGGCGCCCGTGTGTGGTGCAAAATGAGCAAGGGTCTTAACACCTACCTCGGCGAGTGCGAAGGGTAAGGAAGCTAGTCGAGCCAACTAGGATCCGTTTAGGTAGGTGGAATGTAGGGTCCCGTATAGGTAAGTGAAGAGAGTTAGTGGACACAGCGGTTAGGAGGCGTGTAAATATCTTATGCGTCCAAGAGACTAAATGGAAGGGGCACAAGGCGAAGGAGGTGGACAATACCGGCTTCAAACTCTGGTACACACGGACAACTTCAAATAAAAATGGAGTAGGAGTTTTGATTGATAAGAGCCTCAAGGATGGTGTGGTGGAGGTGAGAAGGCAAGGGAATAGGATCATCTTAGTTAAACTTGTCATTAGTGATATGGTCTTAAACGTAATTAGTGTGTATGCCCCCAAGTAGGCCATGATGAGAGTGCTAAGCGGTGAGGTGCTTAATATGGTCATTAGTGCTAAACTTGTCATTAGTGATATGGTCTTAAACGTAATTAGTGCGTATGCCCCCAAGGTTGCTTCAGAGGTGCTTTGAGTGACCAAAGGGAACGGATGGGACTCGAAAGACACTTGGTGGTGGAATGAAGATGTGCAAAAGGCTATTAAGGAAAAGAAGGAGTGCTATAAGCGCTTGTATCATGACAGGTGTGCAAACAACATAAAGAAGTACAAGGTGGCAAGAAGACTGCAAAACGAGTGGTGAGGCAAAGGGGCGGGCCTAGGAGGACCTTTACCGACGTTTGAGTACGAAGAAAGGAGAGAAAGACATTTATAGGATGGCTAGGGCTCGCGATAGGAAGACAAGGGACTACAACTAAGTCAAGTGCATAAAGGATGAGAGGGAGCAGCTCTTGATGAAGGAGGATGAGATCAGACATAGATGGCAAGAGTATTTTGATAAATTGTTCAATGGTGAGAACGAGAACACCACCGTTCAGCTGGACGACTCGTTTGATGACACTAACAGGCGCTTTGCGCGGAGGATTCAAGAATCGGAGGTCAAAGAAGCCTTGAAAAGGATAAAAGGGGGCAAAGCAATGGGCCCTGATGGTATCCCAATAAGGTGTGGAGATGTCTCGGGGATATAGCTATAGTATGGCTAACCAAGATGTTCAACAATATCTTTCGATCGAACAAGATGACTGAGGAATGAAGAAGCATATTGGTACCAATCTACAAGAACAAGGGAGATATCCAAAGTTATACTAATTATCGGGGAATTAAGTTGATGAGCCACACTATGAAGTTATGGGAGAGAGTCATCGAGCAACGCCTGTGAGGAACGACGCAGATATCAACAAACCAATTTGGTTTCATGCCCGGAAGGTCAACCATAGAAGCAATCTCCTTAATAAGACAAGTTATGGAGCGGTTTAGAGAGCAGAAGAAGGACCTCCACTTGGTTTTCATTGACTTGGAGAAGGCTTATGACAAGATACCAAGAAATGTTATGTGGTGGTCTTTGAACAAACATAAAGTCCCATCAAAGCACGTGACCCTCGTCAAGGACATGTACAACAATGTTGTGACTAGTGTTCGAACAAACGATAGTAACACAGATTACTTCTCGATTAAAATTAGACTTCATCAAGGGTCAGCCTTAAGCATGTATCTCTTTACCTTAGTAATGGATGAGGTTATATCCCTTGGTGTATGTTGTTCGCTAATGATGTAGTGTTAGTAGACGAAAGCCAGTCGGGAGTAAATAGGAAACTAGAGTTATGGCGGCAGACCCTTGAGTCTAAAGGTTTTAGATTGAGCAGAACTAAAACCGAATACATGAGATGCGACTTTGACGGAGTTGTACAGGAGGAGGGAGATGTGAGTTTGGAAGGTCAAGTAGTACCTAAGAAGGATACCTTTCGGTATCTTGGATCGATGCTACAAGAGATGGAGATATTGATGCGGACGTTAGCCATAGAATCAAAGCAGGATGGATTAAGTGGCGACAAGCTTCTGGCATTCTCTGTGACAAGAGAGTACCACAAAAGCTAAAAGGCAAGTTATATAGAACGGCGATTAGACTGGCTATGTTGTACGGAGCAGAATATTGGCCTACAAAGATTCGACATGTTCAACAACTGAGTGTTGCAGAAATACGTATGTTGCGATAGATTTGCGGTCACACAAGAATGGACCGAGTTCGGAACGATGATATACGTGATCGCCTAGAGGTAGCACCAATTGAAGAAAAGCTTATCCAACATCGGTTGAGGTGGTTTGGCCATGTCCAAAGGAGACCTCCAGAGGCACCATTGCATTGTGGAGTCCTAAGCCAAGCTAATAATATGAGGAGAGGTAGAGGAAGACTGAAATTGACATGGGGGAGGCAATAAAAAAAGACTTGAAAGCTTGGGATATACCTAGAGATCTATGTTTGAATAGGAGTACTTGAAAATGCAGCTATTGAAGTGCCTGAACCGTGACTTAGGGCTCTTGGTGGGTTTCAACTGTAGCCTACCCCAACTTGCTTGGGACTGAAATGCTATGTTGTTGTTGTTGTTGTTGTAGAGCAATAGTTTTATTACGGAAATGGTAATAACTTTCTGCTTCTAGAAGACAAGACAACAACATGTGCAGGGATAAAGACCATGGGCCCATGAAATTCTGCACATATCGTGATACAGAACTTTCAGGATAAAAAATACATGCCTAGCATTATTCTTAATGTTTCATTCACACTTGGCACAATAAAATATTGAAGATAAAAACATATACCAGTACTTATTTGGTAACAAGGGGGTAGGCTAGAAAAAAAATGAAGACCAAAACATCCAAGTGAAGCTTTAAAACCTCAATCATTTACAATATTTAAAATTATCAAGCAGATGTGCGAAGTTACAAACCTGCATACACTCGTTTAAAGAATCCAGCATGGATGAGCACATTTCTGTTTCTGGCTCCTGTACAAAGGATGCCAAAAAAAGTTCAGGTGTCAGCATGGGTTAGAAAACAATAACCAAACTGCTGAGATATCTTCGAATAGACCTTGTGCAGTGCTTCAACAAGTGCCGGAATTATGTAGTCAGACAACTGTTTAACATAAGACTGATCACGGCCTTGAGCCTGCCCCTTCTCAACAGCCAACTTTGCCGAGCGTAGGAGTTCGGGCATGGCTGCATTATGTCCAGAAATTGTAAAAAGAGCAAATCTATGTGCAGGATTAAATCATACTGCAACATTAAACTACCTGCAACAGCAGCTCTCCTGACTTCCTCATGGAAGTAAAACTTCAGCAGAGGGACCAACGTTGGGGCAACCTACATGAAAATTTATAATCAATCACATGCTGGAAAGGTGTAGCCAGAACTTGAGGGACTTAGAAATTAGATACGTTTAATGTGATAATGAACCTGATCAATCCATGGGAAGAAACCCTCCTTAAGCTCATCAGCATAGCAGCTCAGCATGTTGCAAGCTGTTGCTTTCTCTTCCAGCACACTAGTTCGGATTCCTATTCTTTTGTCACCAAGTGTGATTGTTTCTATGCTGTATAAAACACAGAAAGTTAGGGTAAGTGTCAGAAAAAAAATATACACATTTAAATGTATGATGCACTCCTTGACCCACCAGAAAGGGGGTGGTAACAAAACCTTACCATGATACATATATAAATAAATAGATAGATAGATAGATAGATAGATAGATAGATAGATAGATAGATAAATAAAAGCATGTGAGAAGTCCATAAATAAAAAGGCATCTGCCGACTATAGGCATATTACATCTATACAAGTCCATGTATCGTTGCAACTGAGCAAGACAGGTATAGATAGTTCTAGGTGGCAATAGTCTGCCATGATTCAGGATTAGGAACACAAACTCTAATCAAGTAGATAAAAACATTTCAAGAGAATGGATAACAGACCTATCATCATCTGATTCAATATCGTCATCTGATTCGGCTGAAGTAATTGTAACATCAGGCTTCAGCTGAGCAGACTGAAGCAGTGGAGGCATAACAACACTCATGTAAGGAAGGAAATCCTGTCCAAGACATTTGCATAGCCTGGCCCAAGCCTATAACATGTGGAGATAGGTGTTAGACATGTTTAAGGTGCTGTTAAGCCTAGATTCCATTGCTTTGAAGCAATACCTGCAACATGTAGCTGGTAATTGGATCATCAGTTTCCATTGGAGCTCCTTGCAAAGCCATAAGTACTTCCATAACCTAGCAGAGGGCAGATGATTAGAATAATAATATTGCCTCAATAAAAATATCAAAGCTGATGAGGAATGAACATATAGGATGTGTTTGGTTCATGGGATGAGATGGGATGGAACCATTCCATCCTGCTTTTGCCAGTGTTTGGTTCAAGAACTCAGGGATGAGGGCACTCCAGAGTAAGAATATTCCTACAAAGATTCAGGCTCCACTCGTTGTCGCAAAAAGGCAGAACGCGTTCGTCCCTTTTTCACGGTGTTTCTCACCGTTTCTCTCTCCCACCTTGCTCTCTCTCTCTCTCTCCGATGTGGCAGCGGCATGCGATGTGCGGCGACAGACGCGCCCGCAAGGCGAGCGACAGCAGCGCTGGCGGTAGCCACGCATGCGACGGCGGACCAAGCAACAGTGATGGATGGGCGCACGAGGGCTGGTACCGAGCGAGAGCGGACGTGAGGGATCCGACGGACGCTGATGCGAGGAATCTGTATCGGAGAAGAACTTAGAGATAGGGAAGAAGGGCATATTTGTGTGACGTGTTGGTCCCATAGTTAACGGGATTAACTGATCTGATATCTGGTTCAGTCCATTCAACCAAACACAAAAACAGAACCGCTCCATCCTTCCAACTAAACAATAAACTAGGCATGGAACCGTTCCATTCCACCTCGCTCTCCAACCAAACGCACCCATAAAGTGCAAGTGGAGTGGAACTGGCATCCTCAATAACAATTCTATCAAACAGAAAACCTATGCATTTCCTGAATTCTGATGCGTTAGTGGGAACAGGTTGAACAATGAAACTGACTCAACATGAACAGTGATGAAAAAAACAATAACAAACTAGTTGCAACGAAGTAGAAGTATATTATTTGCAATCTGCAAGAAAACATGACAGTTGGAAGGAGAGGCCAACCTGCCTTGCGTCGTCTCTGAACTTATCCTTACCCACAGCCATTCCTACCAAACTTATGCACTCCATGGACTTGGCACGAAGCATCCTATTGGACTTATCAGTTGCATGCATCAAGATAGATTTTAGGTATGGCATGACAGAATCATAGTATTTCTTGAAGTGATCCTGCAAGACAAACAAACAAAAAGTTATGTCATAATGCCATAAACTTATTATCAGCTAGACAAACAAAAAAAAACGCTGTCATAATATTATGAAGTTGTTAGAGCATCTCCAAGAGTTCCCTAAACCTCCTCCTAATCCTAAGTTTTTAGAAAGATCCACAAAAAATCCATCTCCAACAACTCCTAATACAATCTCCTAATATTTTAGGAGTTGGAAAAAATCCCCCTCATCCGCGTAACTTTACGCGCCGCAGCCTCGCACGTATCCTTTGACTCCCGCCAGTGGGTGGCTGCACCTGGCGTACAACGGCGCCGGAGCGACGAGGGTGCACTGGCGGCACCGCGAGGCCCATCTTCTGAGCCCTGAGGAAGTGCTTTTGGGCATGGCAGCGGATCTGCGTGGCTGTCTTGGTGGCGACGAACACCTCAATCCTCTTCCAGTCGCGGCCGTGCAGCACCAGCGCGTGGAGGAACCGGTCGTGCTCGTCGGCGGTCCACTTCTGCCGAGGATTGGTGATGGTGTACGGCTTCCGGAGCTTCTTCCCCGCCATCTCAGTTGACTTGGCCACCACTGCGGACATTTGTTCCTGACTTTCGACCTCTCAGCTTCTTGAGCAGAAGCAGCGAGGGCACGTATGAAATGAGAGCAGAGGATTGAGAGTTCTCGACCTGGTGTGTGCTGGTGTTCAGAGTGCGCAAACATATATATGGATCGTTGAAGCCGCGCATAAAGTGAGCATCGGATGCAGAAAACGTGTGGCGGTCTGGCCGATACAGAGCATGTGCTGAACAAGCTAGGAGATGGTCGCGGCAGGCTGGGAGGTGGCGTCGGTCGACCGGGAGGAGGGCGTGGCCGGTTGGAAGGTGGACGCGGCTGGCTGGAAGAAGGCGGCAGGCGGCTGGGTGGTTGCCGCGGCTGGCTGGACGATGGCGGCGGCGGCAGGGAGCTCGCGGTGTCAGGATTCGGCGCGCCCTGTAGTTTCCCGTGATGGAAAAGAAAAAAAGCCGCAACATAATTCATGTGGGCCCCAAATTTGATTTTTTAGATGCCATTTATTAGAAACTCTTGGAGATGACCTTCTTTTTTCCTCCCCAAATCTTTTTAGGAGTTGCCAAACTATAAGTTTTTAGGAGAAAAAAGTAGGGAACTCTTGGAGATGCTCTTATTATCAGCAAGCTAGAAAGCACTACAACCATAGAACAACACTATGATGCACGATAACAGAGATCCATTACGCATAATAGCATAAAACTCCCATGTGAACAGTTACCTGTGACGAATCTGCTACTGACGCTAGAGCTGTCAATGCTCCCTCCTGCACCATTTGCTTGCCATTCTAGAATATGAACATGAGCAGTTAGCATGTTTACTAACCATGATAACAAACATATTTGAAGCAAGCTGAAACCTAATTCAACACAAGTAAATGCATACCTGGAGAAGAACAAGTAATTTGTTCACAATTCCATCCAAGTAAGGCGTCAAAATTTCCGGTGTACAATTCTCACTAAAATTCAAAATCGCTGAAGCTGCATGTGCCTGTCAACAAGAATAGCAAATTAGCAATACAGTAGGTCGCCAGGTCCTAAGATGTATGACATGTGAATAGGTACACAGGTTGATTTAGAATGTAGGCATAAAGAATTGTATTAGCTTAATATCTGAATCCACTCAGAACACTTAAAACAACATTCAGTTCAGAAGGCTGGCATCCATAACGTGCTACCTTCTATTAATGCCTCACTTTTTGTGATGGTGATGAAACAATGAACTTAGTAGTTGCTTGGTAATTAAATTACTTTTTATTGAATAAACTTGTCATAGGTCGAAGATCAAAAGGAATTCATTTGACATTTAGATGTGCTAACTGCCCGCATCTATTTGTAACATGTAAAATGCACAAAAGTCATCTTGGTCCACATCAAGCTGTTTATTGATGCAACCTCGATTCTAAAATAAGTATTGCAAGAAAAAGGATGTGAGATAAAGTTTTTGCTGACATGACAACTAACCTGGACTCGTGGATTCTGGAAATCATCCATAGCATTTGCCAATGCAGGCAGCACCTGCTGGTGGTAATGAACTTGAAGATCTGGACCCAAATCCGTAGAGAGCTGACCAATGGCATTGATAGCAGCCCATCTCACACGTGGGTGGGGATGTTGAAATCCATTCAATATCATCGAAACAACTTGTTCCAAACTTTTAAGCATAACCTGCCAGGAAAAACAGCAACCAATGAGAAGATGGCCTATTTCGGAAATTTTCATCCACATGACACAACAGATCAGATAGCATCCTGTGGTCTAATACTAGTCTTGGCAATTTAGTATTTGTCGTCCCATTCTACAACAGGAATCCATGGACAAAAATATTGTTCATAACATCCCATTTCATGATGCTGTGATGCAACATGCTAAAAATATAAATTTTATAACTACCCAAAAAAGCAAAACAAATATCCTTTGGGTTGATCAACTGATTGCTAATTATTTGACATATATTTATAAAGTCAATCAGGCTAACCTTTGCACATCCTTCCGCAATCTGTGCAAGTGTAATGAGCGCAGCATGGTGCTTCTGCCACTCAGGAGCAGACAGGTACTGTGGTAGCAGCTCAGATGCAATAGGCACAATTGCGTTCCCACCAATGGCAATGGCAAGGCGGTCAAGGCACTCCTGTGCCACTCCATAGTTGTTCCCTTCCCCTGCGTCCTCATCTTCAGTTTCAGCAGAGTGCCAAGCAGGGTCATCCTCGACATCAAGCAGCATCTGCATCAGCACTGCAAACAGCCTACCAACAAACTGCGGGAGTCGCCGCATCATTCCTGGTGCACGCTCCCTGGCCTCGGCAAGGGTAATCACAAACTCCACCGCCAAGTGCCTGGTCCCATCTTCCAGCTGTGCAGCCTCAGCAACTTGCAACATTGCCCCCACCACATCAGCAATCTGCCTCCTCAGGAACCTTGGCTCAGCGCCAGCAAGCTCCACGAGCAGCTCCAGTGCCTCCTGCGCAGAGGCCTCCTGGCCAGAGTTTAGGCAATCAGTGAGCGCCCTCATCATTGCTGGGAGCAAATCCTGCATCTTATCCCGGTCGGAGTTGGTTGGCAGGCACTGGACGAGGTTGACTGCGGCACCCAGGGCCGCAATCCGAACATCAGGGGACGTGGGATGCGCCAGGGCGGAGGCGAGGAGGTTGTGGATAGTCATCAGATGGTCGAGGAGCGATTCCGCGATGTAATCCGCCAGCCTCGCGAAGATGAGCAGTGCTGACTCCTGGAGGTTGGGCGCCTCGGGCCCCGACGCAGCGCGGAAGAGGAACGGCAGCAGCTCGGGCCAGGCGTTCTCGGGCAGCAGCGAGGCGGCGAGCTCAGAGACGGCGTCGCAGACCTTCTTGGCGATGGGCTTGGGAGGATCGGACTGGAGCGCGGAGAGGAGGTGCGCCTTGAGCGCGGTCTGGCCCGCGGGGGAGAGCTGCGGCCAGAGCGGCGCCGGGGGCGTGGCTGCGTTGTTGGAGGATGCGTCGGAGGACGGGGTCGGGGAGAGGACCTTGCGGAGGAGGACCCCCGCCATGGCGCGCAGGTCGGCGGGGGTGGCGGGCGCCGCGAGCGAGGTGGCGAGCCGCAGCGCGAGGGGCTCCGGGTGCGAGGCCCGGAGGCGGTGGAAAGCGGCCTCGGCGGCGGAGCGGTCGGCGTTGGACGACGACATGAGCGTCGAGAGCAGCGCGTCGAACGCCGCCGGGTCGCCCCCCAGCAGCGCGGCGGCCGCGGCCTGGTCCTCGGCGGACGCCATCGGATCGGAATCGAATCCGGGGCGAGCGGGCGGGCGGACGGCGGCGGTTAGGGTTTGAGGGTTGAACCGGTGGTGGCGGCGGCGGGAAGGGGAGGGTGAGGGTGGTGGAGAGAGAAATTGAGAGAGACTCGGGGGTTGGGTTTAATATTATCACCCTGTTTCGTGGTTCGTAAATCGGCTGACGTTGTTTCGCTATGAGAGAAAAATATTGTATTAGGCTATGTTCGGTTGGTTTAACTTGGTTAAATTAGCTGAAAAATACTGTTTTATCTGAATTATTGTGAGAGAAAAATATTGTTTCAGTAAAAAAAATCAAGCTAAATAATGCGGATTATAAGGAAAGTCGAACGAGGCCTAGGCTGATAAACAGGTGTATATGGGTAGGGTTTGGGAGATGCGGCTCGAGCGCTCGTAGGCCGGGGGACGCGACCTTGCGCGGTGGGGCGCGGACGTGGGGTGGCCGGGTGGGGCTGGGGCGCCGCCGCCGTGAGAACGAGAGCGGCTGCCCGCTCGCCTTGCCTGTGTGGGTTTGGTTCGATTTCGTTGCGGGCGCCGGGCGGGATTGGGGGTTTTCGGGACGTTGGGTTCGGGCACGGGGCCGGTTTCGCGGGATTCCCTTGTCCAGTTGTCCCCGTCACCTTTCCATCGTTCCCATGGATTTTCGCAGCGATTCGCTGATTTTTTGCACCGCTCGGCTCGGCTCGTGCCCCCATGGCCAAGGGGAATATGGGCCTGGGATCCGTTTCGCCGATGCTTCCTTTCTCCTTGCCGCGCCGCGTCTTTTCGGCGAGCACAGGGGGTTCTGGGTTTTACAGCTGGTGGTCTGAGCTGGGCGCGTGGATGGAATCGATGGACAGGAACAAGAGAAGGTGGTGACGGTCACGGAGGGCTATGATTGGGCATTGATGGGTACAGGCAGGCGGCTGGGTGCCATCTCCCCCCGCGTTATCATTATTGTTCTGTTCACTTCGCTTATAATTTATCTTTTTCAGCTTGTTTTTTTAATCGAAACGGTGTTTTTCTTTCACAACAAATCAGCCGGAACAGTGTTTTGGCTTGTTTTTTCAGCGAAGCGAATGAGCCATTGATGCACGGTTATTAAGCCAACAGTAACGCCACAGCAGGGCTCGTCCTGGGTGCTGGATATCCCGTGTATGTGCGTGTATAAGCTAACGGTGTATGTGCTGGAAATCCGGCACGAGAAAGTATTTTGATCTGCTGCTAACGGTGTATGTGCGTGTATAAGCTGAGACCAACCTAAGAGAGATTAGTTGGTTTTTTCTATTACATAAGAATTTTTGCAGCAAAATTCAAGTTGAAAAAAGAACTGTAGCCTATATTGTTTGGTGCATGACTATACCCACCGTATAATCAATTTAACTAGGCTCACTTGGTGTTCATGCCTGTACATGCTTTTTTTCTCGAGGGTGTTCATGTCTGTACATACAATGCATTAATTTGCATATATGACATCATGTCACCGTACTACAAGTTATCTAGCAAAATATAAAGTGACGTATTGAGTCCTCACGTGTACATTCCGTTATCTCCGTTATAACTTTACCTGAATGAAACGCTATGCGTGTGTATACAATCTTTACGTTTCGTTTATATACAAGCCGCCACAGCCGCGAGCGTCGTATACTCAGTATGTGCTTTGTCACATGTAACGTTAATGCATTAATTTGCATAGATGACATCATGTCACAATACTACAAGCTATCTAGCAAAAATATGCGGTGACGTGTTGAGTTCTTGTGTGTACATTCTATTCTCACCGTTATAACCTAAACTGATTGAAACGCGATGCGTATGTATACGATCTTTACGTTTCGTTTATGCAAGCCACCACAATTCGCGACAGACGTATGTGCTTTTGTCACATGTAACTTGGGTAAATGTTGGTTGTCCCTATCATTTAAAATGGTTAGCACAGCTAGCATTATGGAAAATACCACATGTCAATAGATAATAAATTTAGGACATATTATTATGGAGTAAAACAAGCGATGTATGTAATCCTCAATTAACTATAGTATAGGAGACAGGTTCTACCATATTTAAACGTAAAGGTACCTTTTTTGCGAGGAAACCAAAAGATACATACCAATGGCAGGGGCACACGTGATTGGTGTCTTAGGGAGTTAATTCACCTAAATTACCTTATAACTTAAGATAAAACTTTGAGAGAACTACTTCAATAGTCCATTTGTAATAGAAAGTTAGTAGAATTTAGCAATCCAACTCCGAGATATGCCTCCTGTAATAGAAAGTGGAAATAATGAATCTTAGTGTTTTTTTAAGGAATAAATGAATCTTAGTTTGATCGTTGTGTTAGGATAACTGTTTCCATTTTGTTGTAAAAAAACTTTTTCCATTCAAGTTATTGCGAAAATATGAGGCAACAAATGAAATTACTAGTTCCATTCCATAGTTTAGGACAATCTAGTAGGGCTATGAAGAAACGATCAATGATACATTTTGGTTGAAGGAAAATATGTTCTCATGTAGTGTGATTACTATATTTCTTAATTCAACTTTTCTTATAAATTGGACGATTTTGATGGCCAATATTCCGTTCGTTCAAAGTCGTGACATTGCCAAAATAGCATGGGCGTCTAGCTGGGTACCGATCGCGATTTGACAGCATAACACATCCAGCTAGCATCAATAGTTTTGCCGGGATACAGAAGTTATCAACGTACACACTTTTTTGGGCACCCCTGATAAAACACAACGGCAGTGAGCCTCGTGTACCGAGCGAACGAATTTTGGCTAGTTCCCCAGCATGGCAGTTTGCCAACCCTTGGACTCTCTTGTCCACGTATTGGTGTCTCCTGCCAAAAAATGTGAAAAGCATCTCGTGTCACACTCACACCAAGAAAAGTTCCATCCTTCAAGCTAAGCAATGGGCCAATCTAGTGATAATGTACCATTTTCCTCACGGGAGGAGCAATAATTGACAACGCACAAACAAACAAGCATAGCAGTCCTTGAAGCACAAACAATTCAAAGGTTTCATCAGCACCCGAGTTCTTTAATCACATCGAGCTACAAGCAATGGAGCCGCTGATAGCCGGATGGGCCCACACACACATAAAGTCGGCTTTTAAGGTACACAAACTCCACTTAACAAGATAACATGCCGTCCACTTCATATCACTTTAAATATATATAAACAAAAGAACAAACAAATGGTGTTTTCTCTCCAACACTGACACGAGAACGAAACTAATTTTATAGCAGCACTCACACCTTAGTTTTTTAATTTACTTCGACACGTCGGATATTCCATATGACAAGTAGTTGGCAGCAGTCGTCAAAGATTATTGCCGGCCCGTTACTGGACCGCGTTGCACATTCCGGGGCGTGTTCGGCACCAAAGCGGCTGGATGGGCTCGGCCCGGACCCCCCTCCCCACCATGCGCTGCCGCCAGTCGATGAGCCGGTCGGTGGCCTCGGCGTACCGCTTCCTCCCCGACGCGTCGCGGTTGCCAGACCAGAGCGCCTCCGCCATGGCCGACGCTCTGGGCCAGACCCGGCCGTCCAGGACGGCCGTATCGACCTGCTCCGTCCACATCGCCACCTCGCCGCCGATGACCAGTTGGGCCTCCTCGGGGGTGAGCCCGTACGCGATGTCGTAGTCGTACACCCGCTGCCACGTCTTGTAGGGCCCGCACCAGGACCCACCGTCGGCTTTGTAGTCGCTGTTGGGATCGTCGTAGATGCTGTTGTTGCCGACGAAGTCGCCGTGCCCGCAGTCGAGGTAGTAGAAGGAGGCGGAGGAGACGATGGCGCGGTACCCGGCCTGCACGATGAGCTTGGTGTTGTTGGCGCCGTTGTTCCACGACTGCAGGATGGTGGTGGCCGGCGGGATCAGCGACGTGCTCACGTTCACGGCCGCGTCCAGCAGCACGTCCTCCCAGAACACGGCCGTGCGGTTCCTGGACACCACCAGCGGGTGCACCGCGCTCACGTACCGCTCCAGGAGCTGGCTCAGCGTGCCGCCGCGCTCCAGGTCCGCCTGGATCGTGGGGTCCGCCTGCCAGCAACCCGGGGTGACCTCGTCGGCGCCGGCGTGGTAGAAGCCGTCCGGGAAGAGAGAGGTCAGGTCGTTCACCACGTTGGTGATCACCTCGTACGTCTTGGGCGCCAGCGGGTTCAGCTGGCCGGCGCCCGGCTCGGCGGCGAGACGGCGGTTCCAGTCGCCGTCGGGCAGCCAGAACTTGCCCGCGCAGGTCACGGCCTCCGGGTACGCGCCGGCCCACGAAGCCGTGTGGCCTAAAAGTAATTGGGCCGTTAAAACCAAAATCTAATGCACTAGAACACGAGAAGCTGGCCCGTCGAAAGCAAAGCCGACGAAGCAGAGGAAGGAAGCTGGAAAACAGAGTGGAGAGTAGGCCCACACCGACGGCTTACCCGGCGAGTCTATCTCAGGCACGACGCGGACGCCGCGGCTCATGGCGAACTCGACGATGCGCTTGACGTCCTCGACGGTGTACTTCATGTCCTCTCCGTAGGCGCCCTTTTCGGCGAGAGACGGCTCGGAGGGCAGCACGATGGGGAACGACTGCGAGTCCGTGATGTGCCAGTGGAACACGTTCATCTTGTTGGCCGCCATGGCGTCGATGGTCCGCAGGATGTCGGACACGGGGAAGTAGGTCCTCCCGGTGTCGAGCATCAGCCCACGGTGCGGGTACAGGGGCCGGTCCTCGACGCGCACGCCGGCGGCCACCAGCAGGAGGTCCCGGCCCCGGCCCCGGCCCCGGCCACCGGCCCGCCACGACAGCTGCGAGAACGTTTCCAGCCCGCGCATGGCGCCCCACGCGGTGACCGCGGTGACCGTGGCCGCGCCCGTGGGGAGGATCTCCAGCGTGTAGGACTCGTCCACGCCGTGCTGCAGCGGGGCGGCGAGGTCGGACACGGCCAGGGTCAGCGTCTCCAGCGCGTTCCCCGCGGTGACGTTGACCGCCGGGCGAACGATGGGCCGGTACATCTCC